TAATTCATTTAAGAGTAGAGTTGTATATGTGTGTGTGTGTGTCTGTGTGTGTGTGTGTGTGAGAGAGAGAGAGAGACTTGATAAACTATTGCAAATTTTAAATTAAATATTAGCTATCAATGTTTGCTTCTTAAAACATTATGAATTATAAATTTACCATTAATGCTAATATTTATTATGAAAGTATTGATTTAAAGAATTTTCTCCAAAGTTAAAAAAAGAATTCAATTCATATTTTTTTCATCTCTTCTCCCCTTCCTTCAAATCTAGCTGTTGACAGTGTCTTGAAGAGGATGACAATCATTGGTGTCATTTTATCCTTCCGGTCATTGGCACAGGAAGCACTTAGAGATGTAAGAACCATTCCTATGTAATTTTTTTATTTTCTAAAAAATTAAAGTTAACAATTAGCAATAAGAAGATAGAAATTCCAGTTTTCATAGTGATGGAAAATAAAATGTATAGGATGAGTTAAGCTTATTTTTTCATTTGGTATTGAAATTTCGAGAGTACAGTGTTTCAGCTTTGCTGTACCTTTTAAGGCATTTTCATTTGAACTGTATTCATCTTAACATTGAAAACGTTCCAATTCCATGTACCTTGACCTTTCAGAAAAGCCAAATGAAAGTACACAAATACTTCTGTCAGAACTTGAATTTATCATATGATATTACATAAATTTAACCTTTTAATGTTGATTTGTGTTTTCAATTGTCATCCTGCCTAGGTCTTGTCCTACCACATTCCTTTTCTTGTAAGTTCAATTGAAGATTTCAAGGATCACATTCCAAGGGAAACTGATATGAAGGTATAGCTTCTGTTTGGAGTTTGCAGTTTTAAAGTGAAATATTTAAATTGGCACATATGAAATAAAATGTATCAAATCTTAAACTGTTGCAAAGTAATTGCTTTAGAGTTAGCATGCTTGCCTTTGAAATGGCATCTTGGTGCACTCAGGACCAAAAAAATTACCTAGGCGTTTTGAAAGTTATTCTTCCTTGATCAACTATAACAAGGTAAAATTTGTTAAAAATTGATCATTTTTCCCCTTAATCAGATGGCTATGTATACATGATCATAAAGCAGAAAGATGAGTAAATAGAATGAATTGTTTTAAATATAATTACATTCAGTCAGTTTTTAAAAAAGGTGTTCAAGGTATTTTTTTATAGTAGGTTGTCATAGATCAAAAACATTTTCTTTAGCATTTTGTTTCTTAAGAAATATAAGATAGAAGGTTGAGAGCTTTATTTGAATCCACAGGATTTTGTTGTTGTTGTTCTTGTTCATTTTATGTGTGTGAGTGTTTTCCCTCTAAGTTTGTAATTGCACTGTGTGTGGGCCTGGTGCCCATGGAGGCCAGAAGTGGGAGTTGAATCCCCTGGAACTGGAGTTAAGAATGAATATTAGCTGCCATGTGGGTATTGGGAACTGAACCCCAGTCTCCTAAAGCAGTAAGCGCTCTTAACTGTTGAGCCATGGCCCCAGCCCCACAGTTTTTTGTTTTAATTTTTTTGAGCCATGTGATCCAACCACTGATGTAATTCCAGCAACAACTAGTATAAGCTACCAGGACTCATAGCTGTGTGTTGTGACTGTCTGTGCTTCTTGGAGAGATTCTTTTGTACTTGGCATATATCTTTTTTAAAAAAATTATTTGTTTTGTGGGTATGCACATTCCATAGCATGAGTGTGAAGGTCAGAGAACAACTTGCAAGAATCAGTTCTCCACTTCTACCTGTGGGTCTCAGGGATCAAACTTGTGTTGTCAGACTTGGTGGCAAGCACCTTTATGTACTGAGCCATCTTGCCAGCCTATTTTGCATATCTTGTACTTTTGTGTAGTATTCGGGTTTCAAAGTGAAGCCTTTGAAACTGGCAACAGTAGGGGGGTTGGGGGTTTGGATTTGAGAGTCTGCCTGTGTACCTCAGGCCCGGCCTTGAATGATCCTCCTGCTTCAGCATCTTGAGTGCTGGGATTACAAGCTTGTGCTACTGCCGTGCTTGACTTTATTCAAAATTTTTAAGGCTTAGCACCTACCACTATTTTTTCTTACTCTGCCTCTTTCTCCATATGTATCTTTTGAGCCAACCAGGTTTTTGAACATTCTTTCCTATTCATTTCATCCTCTTAATTTGTTCTGCTTGAAAACACTTGTGTTTCCATCTTAAGTCATCCTTACAGGTTCACTTGTCATTTTCTAAGACTCATCTCTAGACTATCCAGTGATTAAAGCATTTTTTTCTTATTTATCATCTACCAATATTTATACTAGATAAGAAACATCTTAAAGGCTAAGTGCTTATTTTAATTTTTTTATTTTCTTTTTTAAATGCTTTATAGAAATATACATTTTAGGCTTCCTTAAAAATTTTTACTTATTTTTATTTTATGTGAGTGTATGTAAGTGCACCTGTATCATGGAATACCATGGAGGCCAGAAGAAGGTGACAGAGCCCCTTGAACTGGAGTTACTAACAGTTGTCAGCTGCTGTGTAGGTGATGGGAACTGACACTGGGTCCTTTGCAGGAGCAGACAGTACTCTTAACCATGAAGCCCCCAACAATCACTTTTAGAACATTTTTATTACACAGAGAACATCAGTCTGTCTAGCCCTAGATAACTCTTTCTCTGCCTATAGATTTCCCTGTATTGGGTACTGAATATAAGTCATACAGCATGTAGTCTTTTGACACTGTCTTTTCTAACTTAGCACTTTTTCATGGTTCATTCATATTATATCAACACTTAATTTTTTAAATTATTTTTTAGTATTCCATTGTATGGATGTATCATAGTTTGTTCATTCATCAACTGATGAATACATGGGTTTGTTTTTACTTGTTATATATAAATAATGCTATTGTGCTCATCTATGTTGAAGTTTTTGTGTGAACATGTGTTTTCATTTTTCTTCTATGAAGCATGAAATTGCTGGGCTGCTTAGAAATTGTATTTAGTTTAGAGGAGTTGCCATGCTGTTTTACTAAGGGAATGTGTGCACTATTTTACGTCCCCATGAACACTGTATGAAGGTTTCAGGATTTTTATATCCAGTACTTATCTTCTTGATAATAGTCATTGTGGTAGGTATGAATTGATCCCTCGCTGCTTTGCATTTCCATCCTAAAAATGATGCTATACATCTTTTGATGTGTTTATTGTCTAATTGTGTATTTTCTTTAGAGATATGTTTATCAGATCCTTTGCTCATTTTAAAATTATGTGCTGTGTGTATGTGTGTGGTTGATTTCTCTCCTTACACCATTAGCTGATTCTCTCCTTACACCTGGCTTATGTATGTAGCAAGTACCTTTGCGCTCCGAGCTGTCTCTCTCTGGTCCATGTCTTCTTATTTTTGAAGTATCAGAATTAAAGTAGACCCAGTAGAAGACATGATCTGGCTTTTTTTCCTCTTAGTTATCTTTTCAGTTTCCTGATGGTATCTTCTGAAGCACAGAAGTTGTTCATTTCAGTGCAGTCTAGCTTTTTTCTTTTTCTTTCTTGTTTGTAGTTTTGCTGTCAATTAAAAAAAACAAACCAAAAAAAAAAAAAAAAAAAAAAAAACAACAACACATTGTTTTGGGGCTAGAGAGATGGGTCAGGAGTTAAGAACACTGGCTGCTCTTGCTGAGGACCCAGGTTCAATACCCAGCACCCACGTGGTGGCTAACATCTGCTCTAAACTCCAGTTCCAGGGGAATCTGATGCCCTCTTCTGACCTCCAGGAGCATTGCACAACATGGGGGGTGCACTTAGATACATGGCAGGCAAGCAATACACTCATACACATAAAATAAAAGTAATAAATAAAATATTTTAAAAAATACATTGTCTTTACAAGGTCATAAAGATTTTTGCCTGTATTTTCTTTCAAGATTATTTTAGTTTTGGCTCTTTCGTTTCTAACCATGGTACGTTTTGATTCTTTGTATGTTTGGTGAGCAGCATGTTTATCTAGAACTTAGTGTATGGCATGTCTCTGTTTGTTCTGAGCTGTATACTTCTGAAGTTTACTAATTGTTACATCAAAGATAACCATTTCTGTACATAGTTTTTAATTACAGTATCAGTCAGACTATCTTTAATTGAAATCTATGTGTGGTCCAGAAAAATTGCTTCAGGGGCTAGAGACATGGCTCAGTAGTTAAGAGTGTGTACTAACTACTCTTGCAGAGGACCTGAGTTCAGTTCCCAACACCCATGACAGGTGACTCAACAATTTATAACTCCAGCTCCAAGTGCTTCGGACCTCCATGGTTACCTGAATTCATGAACATTCTCCCTTATTTAAAATAAAAATAAATCCTTTTTAAAAGGAAAAATTACTTTAAACAGAAATTCCTTCATCAGATTTTTAATCAGTATTTCTTTAAAATTTTTATAATCTTATTATATAGACATGACTAAGCAGTGAATCACTATCACTTTTTCACTAAATAACTGGATTTAAGCATAGGTCCAGTAATGCTGATTCACTTTTGCTCATTTATTCCTCTCTTTTGATTTTTTTGAAGCAGAATCTCACCCTAGCCCATGTTGGCCTTGAACAGGTGTTTCTCTTACCTCCAGAGTAGTGCTGGTGTTACGTGTGTCAGCCACCACACTTGGCTCCATTTATTCACCTCTTTGACTTCATATTTTACATCCATGTTTCCAAGACAAATAGTAACTTTAGATGATTCTGTTGGAATTTGCCTCAGAGAGTGTGCAAGTTTTGTTTGGCCTCACCATAGGAAGTTAGAATCAGCAGCACATCCCCGATTATTAAATCAGTTATTCAGCACAGACTAGTTACATTGTCATTTTGCTTCAGCCACATTTTAGAATTCTTCTCGTATTCTTGTAAACTGATTTAAATCATGAAACTTTTCTTACTGAAGTAAATTTTCTTAGAAGTTTGTATTTCTTTGCAATTCTTTTTTTTTTTTTTTTTTTTTTTTTTAAAAAAAAAAAAAAAAAAAAAAAAAAAAGAGGACGATAAATCTTTCACTGTGATATTTATCGTCAGCTGCTGGATTACCATGTGAGATTGATCCTGCCTTAGTGGTAGCTCTTTCCTCACAAAAATCAGGTAAAATCCATTAGTAAATATGTAGTGCTCTTATTAAAATTACAAGGCAGCATAGGTACATAAATGACATTCATTTTTCCAAATGTTTCCTTTGTGTAAACTTTTAAAATAATAATTATAACAATAATTATTATTGGAATATTATCAGGATAGAAAAGACAAAAATCCTTGCCTTTAGAGTTTTTATGGTAGCACAGTCATTATAGAGATGCTGTCTAGCCTGTAGTACTGGGTGAGGCCATTAAAGCTATTGAATGTATATAGATGCAACAGTGCAGAGCATCAGCCTCTTCAACTTTAAAGAGCCAAAGGAGAAAGGAAGAACCACCACAAAATAAACTGAGATGGAAGGACTAAAGGGTTTTTTGTTTTTTTTAAATAATAACTGAAAAGAACAGTTTCTAAGAATGGTAGAAAAGGAATGATCAACTGCAAAGAGTTAATGAGCTGTGATAACAAGATCAAAGTCAGAGTTTCAGGACCAAAAAAGGCTAATAAGAGGACACTTCTGGTAAATGGGAGCAAAAGAGTTGGTGATAAGTATAAAACAATTCTGTCAGGGGAACAAAGAATTGAAATAATAGCTACAGGCAGGAGGTGGTGGTGTTAGGAATCCAGTCTGAGCTCTGCACATGCCAAGCTGTGCTGTTCCCCTGAACATACCCCCAACCTATGAGAAGGATTTTTTTTCAGATGCAGAAGATAAGAGCATTTCTATGTTGGTAGGAGACAGTCCTTATGCTACTTAAGAAATTAATGTCCAGGAAAGGATTTCTTACCTTAATTAGAGTTATTCACTATAAAAGTTGATGTATTATGTAATATTAAACATTAAAAATATTTAAGCCCAGACCTTTGAAATGTAGTACCCAGAATGTTCTACGTAATTCTAGATTTGTCTATAGTGTAAATATTTCATCTTTTTCTGGAATTGAAATGATCTCTACCCCCTTGGCAGAAGTATACCTATAGTTTTCTCATTAACAACCTTTTTTGTTACTTCATTCAAACAGTATATTAACTCTAGTTAGATGGATAATTATTATTATTTGATTTGCTTACAGATACTTTTTATGATCAACTAAAACTTTGAAGCATGGCCTTTTTCCTTTGGTCAATTCTTAGTTTTATATGGTAGCAAACAGTAGGCTAACTAGGAGTTCCTGGTATCAGATAAGAAGTCAAGTGCCAGATACATAATTTGAGTTTATATTACAATAAATATCTTAGAAAGGTTGTTGCCTTAAAGCTTTAGAGCAGTACTAGAAATTTTCATCCATAACTGGTTCCTTTTGTTTTCTAA